TCCTCGCTGCGTGGCCGTGATGTCACCACAGCGCTTGTGCCAGGCTAGGTGCGCCGTGGTGGTGAGATGTTAACCACCTCGCCTTAGTATACAGGAGGTCGTGGGTTCGATCGCGAGCCTTTTTCTCCGGGTCCTCCGGTTTTTCCCTCCACATTTAAAATTATGAACGGTAACGGTTATTAGTCGCTGATATTGGGCTGTGAGCGCGAATCGAACTCGGGTTGGCGGATGGTTCGTAGCGCAGGGCGCTAACCACTGCACCACCGCTCCCGACTAAACACACACGAAAACACAAGATTACATTGACAATCTCAAACACAAACACACCTTGCACAACCCGGCATTCACGAAGACACAGATATCCGCTATAGCCACTAACAGCCCTTGTTTTGACAAGGGCTGTTAGCGAGCACCTATGAAGGCCGGCACGGCACACGATGAGGTGGGTGGCCAGCACCACGCCCGGCCGCCTTTGTCGCCGCAGTCAGTGGCGATGTTTGCACACCGCACCAGGTACTAATTTGAGGCTAAGTCTACCTAGGGAAGGCCCAGGATCGGTTCAGATATTCGTCACTGGTGTTGGCCCTGAGCAGCGCGCAAACCGCTACGCCAACACTCGCCAACTCGCCCACGCACTCACCCACTCATTGTCGCACAAACACTGTTGTGACCTGCAGTGTGATGGCTGAACAGTGTAAACTATTGAATGGGTGGGTGAGTTAATGGGTGAATGCCGAGGTGAGTGGGTGAGTGAGTGGGTTAGTAGGTGAATGCCGAGGTGGGTGGGTGAGTGAGTGGGTGGGTTAGTAGGTGAATGCCTAGGTGAGTGGGTGAGTGAGTGGGTGGGTTAGTAGGTGAATGCCGAGGTGAGTGGCTGAGTGAGTGGGTGAGTTAGTAGGTGAATGCCTAGGTGAGTGGGTGAGTGAGTGGGTGGGTTAGTAGGTGAATGCCTAGGTGAGTGGGTGAGTGAGTGGGTTAGTAGGTGAATACCTAGTTGAGTGGGTGAGTGAGTGAGTGGTTTAGTAGGTGAATGCCTAGGTGAGTGGGTGAGTGAGTGGGTGGGTTAGTAAGTGAATGCCTAGGTGAGTGGGTGAGTGAGTGGGTTAGTAGGTGAATGCCTAGGTAAGTGGGTGAGTGAGTGGGTTAGTAGGTGAATGCCTAGGTGAGTGGGTGAGTGAGTGGGTGGGTTAGTAGGTGAATGCCGAGGTGGGTGGGTGGGTGAGTGAGTGGGTTAGTAGATGAATGCCTAGGCGAGTGAGTGAGTGAGTGGGTGTGTTAGTAGGTGAATGCCTAGGTGAGTGGGTGAGTGAGTGGGTGGGTTAGTAGGTGAATGCCGAGGTGGGTGGGTAAGTGAGTGGGTTAGTAGGTGAATGCCTAGGTGAGTGGGTGAGTGGGTTAGTAGGTGAATACCTAGTTGAGTGGGTGAGTGAGTGGGTTGGTGGGTTTGTAGGTGAATGCCAAGGTGAGTGGGTGAGTGGGTGTGTTAGTAGGTGAATGCCTAGGTGAATGGGCGAGTGAGCGGGTGGGTTAGTAGGTGAATGCCGAGGTGAGTGGGTGAGTGAGTGGGTGGGTTAGTAGGTGAATGCCGAGGTGGGTGGGTAAGTGAGTGAGTTAGTAGGTGAATGCCTAGGTGAGTGGGTGAGTGGGTTAGTAGGTGAATACCTAATTGAGTGGGTGAGTGAGTGGGTGGGTGGGTTTGTAGGTGAATGCCAAGGTGAGTGGGTGAGTGGGTGTGTTCGTAGGTGAACGCCTAGGTGAATGGGTGAGTGAGCGGGTGGGTTAGTAGGTGAATGCCGAGGTGAGTGGGTGAGTGAGTGGGTGTGTTAGTAAGTGAATGCCTAGGTGAGTGGGTGAGTTAGTAGGTGAATGCCGAGGTGAGTGGGTGAGTGAGTAGGTGTGTTAGTAGGTGAATGCCGAGGTGAGTGGGTGGGTTAGTAGGTGAATGCCGAGGTGAGTGGGTGAGTGGGTGAGTGAGTGAGTGGGTTAGTAGGTGAATGTGTCGATGAGTGTGGTGATTGAACACAGTGTGAATGAGGTCGAGACATTGGGACCGCAGGAGTTCTTGTTGCAGGAACACACAACCACCACCCCCCCCCCCCCAACACCCTCGTGGTTACCTCCACAAGGGGAAGGAAAGTCTCGCGGGAGAATCCAGACATGACATGGTTCCGTGTTCCGCATCCTCCCGGTCTGTCTGGGCCCCGCAGTGTCAGACGTTAGAGTTTGACTCCTGGCAGAGGTCCTGAGCCCCCACAGTCCACCACCCCGAACCCCCCTCCACGGATATTCTCCTCTCTCTCCTCCCTGCTCCTCCTCCTCCTCGTCCTCGTCTTTCCCTCCTGCATCTCTCCCTGCTGCCTCCACTTGCTCCCACCTTCCCTCCAACCCTCTCTGCGTATCCCTCTCCCCCCCCCCTTCCTCCTCCACCCTCCCTCCTCCACCCACCCCCTCCTTCTCCCCACCCCTCCCCCTCCTTTACCCCTCCCTCTCTCACCCACCCTCCCTCCACCCCTCCCTCCTTCTCCCCCCCACCCCTCCTTCTCCCCACCCCTCCCCCTCCTTTACCCCTCCCTCTCTCACCCACCCTCCCTCCACCCCTCCCTCCTTCTCCCCCCCACCCCTCCTTCTCCCCACCCCTCCCCCTCCTTTACCCCTCCCTCTCTCACCCACCCTCCCTCCACCCCTCCCTCTTTCTCCTCTCCACCCCTCCCCCTGCTCCTACCCCTCCCTCCCTCCTCCCCTCCCCTCGTGTCACGTGAGCCGCCAAGGTCACGGCCGGGTTGCCACGCGGATGCGCGCGATGAATCAACATCGCGACTCGCTCGCTCCGCGATTCCCAATTTGAAATCGATTGTCAAATCGATCATTTGTTCCCCGGTTCCTCGATTGCTAAAGTTCAATCGGTAACGTTTCGGGCACTGGGCCTTCTTCGTAGAACATATCGAGATGGTGCGTGTGGCTTTCTATCTCTCTGGCCTCTCTGTGTACTGTGAAGAAGGGTCATTCCCCGAAACGTCGCTTATTATACATTGCATTAAGGCTACACGTGTTTTAGATATATATACAGTGCAAGACGCACAATGAAGTGGTGTGAATCGGTGTGATCTGCAGTAGGTGAGCATCTCTAGCCAACAGAGTCAAAGTGACTCCCTGCGGCTCACAGCCCAATATCAGCGACTAATAACCGTTACCGGTCCTGGGCCTTTCCCTAGGTCGACTCAGCCTTAAATTAGGCGGCTGGGGGTGCTACTGGCCACACAACCCCCACGTCTGCCGTGCTAGCAAACGGCACTTGCCCCAACAGTCTATTAAAGGCTATACGGGGATCTTTGTCTTTGTGCGACAAAGACAAATATCAACGAGCCTTTGATTCACTTTCACGTAGCCTCAAGGTGAACCTAACTAAAAACTAAACTTGTTTTTTTATTTAACCAGGTAAGGCCTACTGGGCTATATTGCTCTTTTTCAGATAGCTCAACGAAGAGGATAGTCACGTGGACATTTGATAACAGCATCCAAATACTCTCAAGCGCCTGTCGTTCACAATTTTAAACGTGCAGGGAAAAACCGGAGGACCAGGAGAAATAAGTATAACCCGTAAAAACAAAGTTTTTCACTCTAAATCCTTAATATGCGTGGCGGCTAGAGTCCTCTCGTTCTCTGGCTTGAGATGGCTGCCACCTATGGGTCAGATGATTGTCCGCAGTATTAAACAATTGGTAATTAAATATTTAATTTGTTTTCCCTAAACAGTGTCAAATTTTGGGGAAAAAAATTTCACGAACATTAATTGTCTCGCACAACGAGTCTGTGTGCCAAATGTTAGCTCGATTGGATCACGGGAAGTGGGTTAAAAAACGACCGAGAGGTTTGCACGGTCGTAACCAAGCAAGCAAGCACGCAAGCACGCAAGCAAGCGAACTTAATATAAAGGATTTTAAAAAAAGCTCGCGATCGAAACCACGACCTCCTGTAGACCAATGCGAGGTGGTTACCATCTCACTGCCACGGCGCACCTAGCCTGGCACAAGCGATGGCTATTGTCTTTGCCCCAACAGTCTGTTAGAGGCTATACGGGGATCTTTGTCTTTGTGCGACAAGGACAAATATCAACGAGCCTTCGATTCACTTTCACGAGGCGTTAGGTGACCGTCTCCTGTGTGCAGCCCTGCAGAGCCAGTGGTGGACATTCCACATTCCTTTGGCGGGGCTGTGTCGAGAGGGGCTAATCTATTCATAGCGCAACCACCGTAAACTGTACCACTAAGTGATGAATTCTTGGTTCTTTCGGTAAAGTCACGTAGAATGGAAATAATAAAGTAATAAACATAAAACATAATAAATTAATATAATATAATAAAATTATTTATTTTTATTACTTTATTATTTCCATTCTACGTGACTTTACCGAAATAACCAACAAGATGAATCCCTGCAGTCACGAAAGCTTTAAACCACTAAGTGATACTTATTTTATAGACCCCACCCCGAAGAGATGATGCTGAGTCAACCCCTCGCCCCCCAAACCCCCAGTCCCGCCAGCCGGACCAGGAGTCGAACTCGCACTCCTTCAGCTTACGAGCCTTTCTCTCTCTCTCTCAACCAGCCGATCCTCCTTGCACGATCGTGGGGGATCTATTTGGGGAATTGGTTGTATGTATGTTCGTGCGTTGAACTTATTTCGCACCGTACGTAGCCAACCATGCTTATCGGAGGTGCCGGGGGGGAGCGGGGGTTGAAAGGACAATCAACTGAACACAAAAAGCAATTCTAAAACAATCGTCTTGAATCTGGATGATGTAAAAGTGCATAGCTCCTTAATGTCGGGAGGAAGAGCGTTCCAGACGGCCCTGCACCTGAACGCGCCCGATGCGGCCTTTGTCCGATGGCGAGCAGCCAAAAGCCGCCGCCGCCGCCGCCGCCGCCGCCGCCGCCGCCGCCGCCGCCGCCGCCGCCGCCGCCGCCGCCGCCGCCGCCGCCGCCGCCGCCGCCGCCGCCGCCGCCGCCGCCGCCGCCGCCGCCGCCGCCGCCGCCGCCGCCGCCGCCGCCGCCGCCGCCGCCGCCGCCGCCGCCGCCGCCGCCGCCGCCGCCGCCGCCGCCGCCGCCGCCGCCGCCGCCGCCGCCGCCGCCGCCGCCGCCGCCGCCGCCGCCGCCGCCGCCGCCGCCGCCGCCGCCGCCGCGGCCGCTGCTGCTGCTGCTGCTGCTACTGCTGCTGCCGCTGCTGCTGCTGCTGCTACTGCTACTACTGCTGCTGCTGCTGCTACTGCTACTACTGCTGCTGCTGCTGCTACTGCTACTGCTGCTACTGCTGCTGCTGCTGCCGCTGCTGCTGCTGCTACTGCCGCTGCTGCTGCTGCTACTGCCGCCGCTGCTGCTGCTGCTGCTGCTACTGCCGCCACTGCTGCTGCTGCTGCTACTGCCGCTGCTGCTGCTACTGCTGCTGCTACTGCTGCTGCTGCTACTGCTGCTGCTGCTGCCGCTGCTGCTGCTGCTGCTACTGCTGCTGCTACTGCTGCTGCTGCTGCCGCTGCTGCTGCCACTGCTGCTGCTGCTGCTACTGCTGCTGCTGCTACTGCTGCTGCTGCTACTGCTGCTGCTGCTGCTACTGCTGCTGCTACTACTGCCGCTGCTGCCGCTGCTGTTGCTGCTGCTGCTGCTACTGCTACTGCCGCTGCTGCTGCTGCTGCTGCTGCTACTGCCGCTGCTGCTGCTGCTGCTGCTACTGCCGCTGCTGCTGCTGCTGCTACTGCTGCTGCTGCCGCTGCTACTGCTACTGCCGCTGCTACTGCTGCTACTACTACTGCTGCTGCTGCTGCTACTGCTACTACTGCTGCTGCTGCTGCTACTGCTACTGCTGCTACTGCTGCTGCTACTGCCGCTGCTGCTGCTGCTGCTACTGCCGCTGCTGCTGCTGCTACTGCCGCCGCTGCTGCTGCCACTGCTGCTGCTGCTGCTACTGCCGCCACTGCTGCTGCTGCTACTGCCGCTGCCGCTGCTGCTGCTACTGCTGCTGCTACTGCTGCTGCTGCTACTGCTGCTGCTGCTGCCGCTGCTGCTGCTACTGCTGCTGCTACCGCTGCTGCTGCTGCCGCTGCTGCTGCCACTGCTGCTGCTGCTGCTACTGCTGCTGCTGCTACTGCTGCTGCTGCTACTGCTGCTGCTACTGCTGCTGCTACTACTGCCGCTGCTGCCGCTGCTGCCGCTGCTGCTGCTGCTACTGCTGCTGCTGCTGCCGCTGCTGCTGCTGCTACTGCTGCTGCTGCTACTGCCGCTGCTGCTGCTGCTGCTACTGCTGCTGCTGCTGCTACTGCCGCTGCTGCTGCTGCTACTGCCGCCGCTGCTGCTGCCACTGCTGCTGCTGCTGCTACTGCCGCCACTGCTGCTGCTGCTGCTGCTACTGCTGCTGCTACTGCCGCCGCTGCTGCTGCCACTGCTGCTGCCGCTACTGCTGCTACTGCTGCTACTGCTGCTACTGCCGCCGCTGCCGCTGCTGCTACTGCCGCTGCCGCTGCTGCTGCCGCTGCTGCTGCCGCTACTGCTACTGCTGCTACTGCCGCCGCTGCCGCTGCTGCTACTGCCGCCGCTGCTGCTGCCACTGCTGCTGCTGCCGCTACTGCTACTGCTGCTACTGCCGCCGCTGCCGCTGCTGCTACTGCCGCTGCCGCTGCTGCTGCCGCTGCTGCCGCTGCCGCCGCTGCCGCCGCTGCTGCTGCCACTGCTGCTGCTGCCGCCGCTGCCGCTACTGCTACTGCTGCTACTGCCGCTGCTGCCGCTGCTGCCGCTGCCGCTACTGCTACTGCTGCTACTGCCGCTGCTGCCGCTGCCGCCGCTTCTGCTACTGCTGCTGCGAGGATGACGAGCGGAGTTGGCGTCACGACGCTTCGTGCTCCTTGGCGAGACCGGCGAAAGGTGTCGCGGTTGATTTGCGGCGAGCACTTTGGGCGTAACGAATTAATGACCTCTGTCCACACGTCTCAGCGGGACGAACCCGGGTCCCCTTTAGCACCGGGGACTAGGGATCCCCACCGGGCTCGTGCCTTGCTATGAATGAAGGACATCGGCACCGTCAACAACAAGATGATCTTTTTGTCAAGACGCTCTTCGCCCCTCCATTCCAACATAAATAGTCGCTCCAAGCCTGGGGCGTTCCATTCAGACTCTGTCTCCTTGACAGACCCGTTCTTCACCTGAAGACGGATGCTTGCGTTGTGGCCGAAACGTCGTGAGAATTATTTTATTATGTTTTATTTTTATTATTTTATTATTTTCCTTCTACGTGACTTTACCGAAAGAACCAAGAAGAAAAAAACAACATGATCATCATCAACATCGTTATCTTGCTATGGTCCACTGCTGGATGAATGACCTCCCCGAAGGCCCGTGGCCACCTCTTCCACGATCCCGCCGTACGATGAACCAAGCTGCGACCCCAGCACGCACGGCTCTCCTTGGCAGACGTGCTAATTGTTCTAAAATACGTAATTACATTCCGTGTTTGTGTGTATAATTACATATTAGGGGCCCGTCCATAAATGACGTCACGCACCTTGATGTGTGACGAGGGGGGGGGGGGGTTGAGAAATGTGACGTCACGTAAAAATGCGCAACTTTAAATAAATATAGAATTGTTATAACAACACTAATTATTATAACAACACTCCTACAACATCAGAGTGCAGCACCACATTAAATACGCACTACAATGACAATAGTTTAAAGCGATTTCAAACATGTTATGTTTAAAAAATGGAAATATTTTTTTTTGGGGGGGGGCAGAGCTTTGTGACATTATATTTGAGGGGGGGGGGGGTCTGACTTTTTGTGACGCCGTGTGACGAGGGGGGGGGTCAAAAATCGTCCAAAATCGCGTGACGTGAAGAACAGGTCTCACCTGAGGACGGCTGCTTGCGTTGTGGCCGAAACGTCGTGAGAATTATTTTATTACGTTATATTTTTATTATTTTATTACTTCCCTTCTACGTGACTTTACCGAAAGAACCAAGAAGAGTTCTGTTGTCAGCAACGAAATAGCGGCATGCAGACGGCGAGAACCGCGTTCTGAATTCACCTCGCGGAGCGACACCCAACATCTCAATTAACGGAGTATCACGTTGGTTTGTGTTCGCCCGCCCGCCCGCCCGCGTGCGTGCGTACGTGCGCTTAGGGGGCACTTAGGGCGAATTGGAAGAGTCCATCTGAAGTGGCGGTGAGGGGGTGGAGTGAGAGGGGGGGGGGGGTTCAGGGTGGGGACACGGCGAGCGGTGGAGGACTGAGGGAGGAGGAGGAGGGAGAGACGAGGTTGTGACGATCGTCTCCCACCAACAGCCTCGCCTCTCCACCCGGACCCGCGCTACAACCTCTACCCCCCCCCCATTCCCTGCCACAACCTTGCGAGAGGTCATCCGGCGAGAGGGGGGGGGGCGAAGAGGAGGAGGAGTGAGAAGAGAGGACATCAACATCACGAGTGAACGATTGCTCCATAACCGTTTCACGGCTAACGCGGTGACCTCGGTGGCGGAGTTTGGGGAGCGAGGGGGGAGGAGGAATTTATTTTGTTTTTTTTTTATTGGGGGGGGGGTGCAGTAGTGGGGGTGGTGCGAGGAGGAGCTCGGGGGGGCTGAGGGGGGGTGAGTAAGGGGAGAATTGCGACGCTCAGGCGAGAGCGCATCTCTTGACGGATCGAGCAGAGGAGCGAGCGATTTAGTGAGTCCACCCCCACCCACTCGCTCATTCCTCGCGCACATCGGGAGCCCAGACAGAGACGCAGAGACACGAGGCAAAGACAGAGAGAGACACAGAGACAGAGAGAGATCATTTGATTTGAGATATTTTTGGAGGCGCGGGAGGGCGAGTGGTGAGATGTGTGGGTGGTGGTCGGGTGACAGGGCCGGATAGACGCACGCGGTTCAAGAGGCAGATGTTTAATCCTCGCTGCTAAGAGTCGAGATATCGACATGTCCGTGGAAAGAAAGAGCGACGTGAGAGAGAGAGAGAGTGGGGAGAGAGTAAGTGGACGTGAGAGATATTGATAGATCGGTTGAGTGAGAGGACAGAGAGAGAGGGTAGCATAGAGGGATACATTGAGAGGTCAGTGGGCAGAGAGACGTGAGCGAGAGACGGCGAGAGAGACAGTGGAAAAGGAGACAGAGCTGGTGGAAGAGAGACAAGATGGAGAGGTCCGTGGAGAGAAAAAGCGAGAGAGATGATAAAGAGACTTTTGACTTTTAAACAGCTTTTATTGCCGCCAGCAGCAAATGCACTGGAGGCGATTTCAACATGAAATACAGTCACCAGCAAACGAATACTCGCTCTGAATCCACGCGCTGTGGCGCAGAGAGAGAGAGAGATGAGAGGGTAGGAGAAGGAGGAGCTGGAGATGCCTTCAAGGAGCTTGCTGATTGATTGACGGGGCTCCTTAATTGAGGAGCCACTCGCTAGAAGCACCCTCTGAGTGGGTCGTGGGGGCCCCAGACACCCGCATAACCCCCCCCCCATCCCCCCTCCCCCCGCCTCGAAGGTCGATCGACAGATGACTTGCAACAACAAAACAGCAACAACAACAACCGTCACTCAGTGAGGGTGAAGTCACCGCAGGCAGCGCCTCAAGTACCACGGCTAGGAGCACGTGGAGACCTGACTGAGATGACCGGCAGATGCAGCCAACCCTCGTGTGCTCCGATCCACCCCTCCACCACCATCACCACCACCATCACCACCATCATCACCACCACCATCACCACCACCACCATCACCACCACCATCACCACCACCACCATCATCACCATCACCACCATCACCACCACCACTATCACCACCACCATCACCACCACCACCATCACCACCACCATCATCACCACCACCACCATCACCACCACCATCATCACCACCACCACCATCACCACCATCACCACCATCACCATCACCACCATCACCACCACCACCACCATCACCACCATCACCACCACCATCACCACCACGACCATCATCACCATCACCACCACCACCATCACCACCATCACCACCATCACCATCACCACCACCATCACCACCACCACCATCATCACCATCACCACCACCACCATCACCACCATCACCACCATCACCACCACTGTGCCAGACCGCTCTGCTTTAGCCGCAACGGGGCTCGTCTCGATGTTGTGCGAGCGTGGCGCCGTTTTGAGACGAGGCTCAAAAGAAAGCTGTCTCTGGTGCGGACCAATCAGTTTCAAAGGCAATGCGTAGATTATCGGAGTACGTTTTTTTCTTGTTTGCATTCTGACAACAAGTATTGTGGTTAATGCAGACACGATTCCTCGTAAAAAGGTTTCAGTTAGGTGTTTTAACATCTTAACACCTGTTTTGTTGCCAGAAAAAGGGGAAAACCTATTATCATATTTTGGTACCGGCAAAAGGAGGTCCCATTATGTAGATAAACCATTTCGGATATCACTGCGTGACTGTCACTGATGATGACGTCACTGCGTCTCTAGGGGGTGGGTGGCCAACACCCCTCCCGGCCGCCTTTGTCTCCCCAGCGGCGATGTTTACACACGCACCAGGTACTCATTTGACGCTGAGTCGACCTAGGGGAGGCCCAGGACCGATTCAGATAATCGTCACTAGCAGTGTTTGCCGTGAGCGAGAATCGAACCCGGGTCGCCAGGTTCGTAGTGCAGCGCGCTAACCACTGCACCACCGCTCCCTACCCTATAACATATACGCACACACACACAGAGATACAACAGAGACAAAGATCCCACGTATAGCATTAGATACTTTTGGGACAAGTGCTATTCGAGAGCACACACACACACACATTTATATATATATATACACACACACGTACAGACGTAATTATAAAAGTCATAATAACCGAACGGGTCTGTGTATAATTGAACGCCACGTGAATTTAGGAGATTAAGAACATTTAAAATTAGTGCTATGTTACAAATGCTACGCATTAGTTACGGCCGTTAGATGCGAATGCGTTGAAGTCCGTGATTCTGCCCTCCCTACAATGTTAGAGATCTCATATATAAGTAAAAAAAAAAAATAACATTGAATAATAATTATACTTATTAATAATTTAATGGACACACTGTGCCATCTGGGATCCTGGATTTGGATCAAAAGACATCGCTGATGGGTGAGATAATTGTGAGAGATTCCGTTCGGAAACAGTTTAAAAGATCCACGGTTCATCGCAGAATTAGCAAACGCACTTTTTTTTGCTTGAGAGACGACGAAAATATATCCCCCTCCTCTTACGAGTTACCACGCAAATTAAAATTAACTACCTAAACTGACAGTTAATTGCCCGTTGCTTAACATGCAAAATGTTGCTTTCTTAAAAAAAAAGAAAATCTCACTTCCTGCATCGTAGCCTCCACGCTGAGGCTGGTTGGCACGCGCGCGTGAGTGTGTGTGTGTCTGTGTGTGTCTGTGTGTGTGTCTGTGTGTGTGTCTGTGTGTCTGTGTGTACACGCGGTAGTCGGTGTGTAAACATCGCTACTGGAGAGACAAAAGCGGCCGGGCGTGGTGTTGGCCACCAACCACCTCGTGTGCCGTGCCGGCCTTCATAGGTGCTCGCAAACAGCACTTGCCCCAACAGTCTGTTCAGGCTATACGCGGGATCTTTGTCGGTTTGTGTACACGCTCGTTCTCATGCCGGGGGCCGAGCACATCCGACATGTAATACGTATGTCTTAAGTGAATAGATAAATACTTAGCTCTGTGTAGGGGTGGGTGGGTGCGTGGTTGGGTGGGTGGTTGGTTGGTTGGTTGGGTGGTTGGTTGGGTGGGTGGGTGGGTGGTTGGTTGGGTGGGTGGGTGGTTGGTGGTTGGGTGGTTGGGTGGGCGCGTGGTTGGGTGGGCGGGTGGTTGGGTGGTTGGGTGGGTGGGTGGGTGGTTGGTTGGTTGGGTGGTTGGGTGGGTGGTTGGGTGGTTGGGTGGGTGGGTGGTTGGGTGGTTGGGTGGTTGGGTGGGTGGTTGGGTGGGTGGGTGGTTGGGTGGGTGGTTGGTTGGTTGGGTGGTTGGGTGGGTGGTTGGGTGGGTGGGTGGTTGGGTGGTTGGGTGGGTGGGTGGGTGGTTGGGTGGTTGGGTGGGTGGGTGCGTGGTTGGGTGGATGGATGACAACATATCTTGACTTGTTCAAAATCACTTTTTCGTGCTTTTTTTCGTTTGTTTGTTCCAGTTGTTCGGGACTAAAGTGAGGGATCACGCGGCTCGCGCTGGCGAACGAACCTCCTCGAACATTCCACGGTGGCAATTCATCGGTGAGTCACTCCGGCCGTGACACGGTTTGCCTGGCTTTGAATTATCCCTCGCTGGGGTGGAATATCCAGCGGAATATAAATATTAATTTTGATGATAACGGTAGTAGTAGTAGTAGTAAAACATAATAATAGAATAACGCGGTTAAAGTTAATTGAATCGCAACTTATTTTGATGAATTGTTAGTGTTTGCTTATATGTGTGTGTGTGTGCGTTGTCAATCACTGGCGTTGCGGCTGGAATATAAACTAAGGGAAGGTTTATCTTTGTTAAGGTTTATTTACTTTAAATAAACGTATCATGTTTATTATTTTCCTACTCTGCGCGCTTATAGAGGATTGCCATGTGTACACGTACCGCTTCGTTAAAACAACAACAACAACAGCGAATCTAAATGTTCGTTTGTTCGATGAACAGTTCGCATTTTTCTTCTTGGTTCTTACGGTAAAGTCACGTAGAATGGAAATAATAAAATAATAAAAATAAAACATAATTAAATAATTCTCACGACGTTTCGGTCACAACGCAAGCAGCCGTCCTCAGACAGAGTCTACTCGACAGACCTGGTCTTCACCTGAGGACGGCTGCTTGCGTTGTGGCCGAAACGTCGTGAGAATTATTTTATCATGTTTTATTTTTATTATTTTATTACTTCCCTTCTACGTGACTTTACCGAAAGAACCAAGAAGATGAATCCCTGCAGTCACGAAAGCTTTAAATCGAAATTTAGTTCGAATTTCTCCCGTTGTGTTAATTTTGGAAAAAAAACAGTTGCTTGAGACTCTCTGACTTTACCGACTAAGTGTGTATCAAACGTCTTTCCCCCACCCCCCCCCCCCCCATTGGGCTGCATGAAGACAAAGGGTCGTAGCCCGAAACGTCGCCCTCATTGACATTTGGAGCGGCTGTTGTTTTACGAAGGCCGTGTTAATGAGGACGGTGGTGGGATTATTTTTGTTTCTTTGTTTTGATTGCGATGCCGAGAAGATTACGTGCGGTGATTTAGCAAGATAAGCATCGTCCACTATATCAACAACAATATCAACAACCAGATCAACAACAATATCAACAACAACATCAACAACAATATCAACAACAACATCAACAACCATATCAACAACAGCAGCAATAGTAACAAGATAAAGAGAGGATTAAGAACGTTCGTTTTGATCGAGCGCGTGAATTTCTGTCAAAGTTTTTGCAAATGAAAGAAACACCGAGATTAATTAAAACAAACCGCGTGCTGACACACATCAACAAGAACGGCAACAGTAGCGACAAACAATATCAAATAAACGACGGTAACAATTACGATTGATTGCATGGACCTCGTTAAGCTTGTGCTGATTATGAATTGAGATATATTTGCAAACCAACTTCGCCGTTGGCATCTGCTCTAATCAAAACCGTGACCTGAACAACAACTCAACAACAACAGCAACAAACAACACAATATCAACAACTCTGAAAGTATTCTTGGTTCTTTCGGTAAAGTCACGTAGAAGGGAATTAATAAAATAATAATAATAAAACATAATCAAATACAATTCTCACGACGTTTCGGCCACAACGCAAGCAGCCGTCCTCAGGTGAAGAACAGGGCTGTCGGGAAGCTTCAAATCGAAATTTAACTCTGAAAGTGTTCATTATCGGACCCGAGTTGAAAACCTATTTTTTCAATATTTTGCCGTGAAGACTCAAACTCTTCCAACACCACCACCACCACCACCGCCACCACCCACCGCACAAACAATCCCCCCCCCAAAAAAAATCACTTCCAAGTCATCAGCGCTCGGATGAACCGCACGTACGCTGCCCACTGCGGCCGCGGCGCGGATTCAAACGAATCTGGCGGCTAGCCAGCCCCACCAAGAGCCGGCGAACTGACTCCAACTCGCGCGCGATGCCGGCCCCCTCGGCGCCCTGGTCCATGCACGCCACCGCGGCCGCGCAGAGGCGATGCCTCCTCTTGCTGAGGCCTCGCCCCGTCCGGCCTCTCAGATTCCTGGCCCTTTTGGCTCTCTACCTGTCCGTCGGGAGTCTTCTGCTCTCCCACTCGGCACCCCTCGTCGCCCGTCTCGCCGCCAGGGCTGGGGTCGCTGCCGGGAGTGGTGGTGGTGGTGGTGGTGTTGGTGGTGGTGGTGTTGGTGGTGTTGGTGGTGGTGGGGGTCACGTGGTGGTCTCGACAGCCGTCTTGGAGGAGCCTTCAGGAGCTCCCTTGGAGGGGACCCTGCTGCAGCAGCAGCAGCTGCAGCAGCAGCAGGGGGCTGCGTTGGGCGTCGGCATGTGGACCTCAAGGGGGTCCGTGTCGGAAGGGACTCACAGAGATGGTGAGGTGCTGGTGGTGTTGTGGGTGATTGTAAGGTGGTGGTGGTCGTGGTGGTGTTGTGGGTGATTGTAAGGTGGTGGTGGTGTTGTGGGTGATTGTGTGGTAGTGGTGGTGTTGTGGGTGATTGTGTGGTAGTGGTGTTGTGGTTGATTGTAAGGTGGTGGTGGTGTTGTGGGTGATTGTGTGGTAGTGGTGTTGTGGTTGATTGTAAGGTGGTGGTGGTGTTGTGGGTGATTGTAAGGTAGTGGTGTTGTGGGTGATTGTAAGGTGGTGGTGGTGTTGTGGGTGATTGTAAGGTGGTGGTGGTGTGGGTGATTGTGCGGAGGTGGTGTTGTGGGTGGTTGTGTGGTGGTGGTGGTGTTGTGGGTAATTGTGCGGTCGTATAACGACCAACACCGGTGACGATTATCTGAACCGCTCCTGGGCCTCCCCCTAGATCGACTCGGCCGTAAATGGGTTACGGGTGCGGTGTGTAAATATCGTCGATGGGGAGATAAAGGCGGCCGGGCGCGGTGCTGGCCACCCACCCCCCTCATGTGCCGTGCCGGCCTTCATAGCTGCTCGCTAACAGCACTTGCCCCAAAAGTCTGGTAAGACTACACGGGGGATCTTTGTCTTTGGTGAGTCTGGTAGCAATGGCGTGTAGAGTTGGTGAGGTTGATGATGATGATGTTTGTTATTTAAGATTAAGATGATGATAACAATGATGATGATGTTTACGATATGTTAAATTTGATGATGATTACCTTTGATTTACAATTTTTAACTCGATGCTGCTGACGATAATATTGATAATTATGAGACAAGTGAAGTTAATTGTCACAATAATCATTCAGGACGTCCAACCACAACAGTAATACCACCACAACCACCGTTATCACCACCACGACCATCACCACCACAATTACCGTCATAACCAGCACCACAACCATCACCACCACTACCACAGCTACCGCCACCACCACCACCACTATCACCAGGACCATCATCACCACCACAGTTACCGCCACCACTATCACCACCACCACCACAACTACTGTCATCACGAAGACCATCACCATCAATATCACCACCACAATTACCGTCATCATCACCACCACCACAATCACCACCACAATTGCCATCATCACCACCACGCTAATCACCACCACCACAATCACTACCACAATTACCATAATCACCACCACGTCCATCACCACCACCACCAACACAATCACCACCACAATTACCATCATCACCACCACGCCAATCACCACCACCACAATCACCACTATCACCACCACAATTGCCATCATCACCACCATCAACACAATCACCACCACAATTACCACCACCACTGCAATTACCACCACAATTACCACCATCACCACCACGCCAATCACCACCACCTCAATCACGACCACAATTACCAGAATCACCACCACCATCACTACGGCCGCATCTCCCTGAATCTCCATCCGTCAACTCCCCCCTTCCCCTCTTAACCGCACTCCCCCCTCCACCCGCAGCTTCGCCCCCCGCCGCCTTTCCAGGGCTACCCCGCGGTGGTGGAGGTGGTGGAGGTGTTGGTGGTGGAGGTGGTGGTGGTGGTGGAGTTGGTCCGGACGAACCCTTCTCTGGGGGGGCTCGCATCATCAAGTACCGGCCCCCCTGGATGCGTCAGCGAGCCGAGGGCAGCGAGCGTCCTCAGGGAGGATACGGGGGGGCAGTGCAGCCCCCCCTGCCCGGAGTCATGGGGGGCAGCGGTGGCGGTGGCGGTGCGAGAGCTGCAAGCGAGCAGGACGAGTCCGGGAAAGGTGAAGACGAGTTCACCATCATCATCACCATCATCATCTTCATCACCATCATCATCATCACCATCATCACCATCATCACCTTCTCATCACCACCATCATCACCATCATCACCATCATCATCATCAGCACTATCACCATCATCATCACCATCACCACCATCATCATCTTCACCACTATCATCTTCACCTTCATTACCATCACCACCATCACCATTTTCATCACAATCATCATCATCATCATTTTCACCATCATCATCTTCACCATCTTCATCACCACCATCATCATCATAATTTTCATCACAATAACCATCACTATCACCACCATCATCATCAATTTCACCACAATCATCATCATCACCACCACCATCATCTTCACCGTCACCTTCACCATCATCATCATCACCACCATCATTTTCACCACAATCATAATCACCATCACCACCATCATCACCAGCATTACCATCATCACCACCACTATCATCATTAATACAAACTCCACTCACACTCACTCACACCCTCACTCACACTCGGCAGAACGCACGAGTCGGGAATCGAACCTCGGGGCATCTTGCTGTGAGTGCGCGAGTTATTTTATCATGGTTAATTTTTATTATTGTATTACTTCCCTTCTACGTGACTGTACCGAAAGAACCAAGAAGATGAATCCCTGCAGTCACGAACGCTTTAAATCGAAAAAGTGCGCCAGTTATTTCCACTCATCATCGTCATCATCGGGATTGGAGAGTGCGTACACCCCGCTGATCCCCAGCACTGCATCTAACACCAGGGGTGTGATTGACATGGATGTTATTGACAGGGATGTGATTGACAGGGATGTGATTGACGGGGATGTGATTGACGGGGATGTGATTGACAGGGATGTGATTGACAGGGATGTGATTGGCAGGGATGTGATTGACAGGGATGTGATTGACAGGGATGTGATTCACAGGGATGTGATTGACAGGGATGTGATTGGCGTGCGTCAGCAATTAGTGACACGTGCTCGGTTATCTCTGATTGGAGAGGGGGTGGGGGGGGAGTGGGGGGAGGCGGGGGAAAGGGGGGGCGATGGGGGGGGAGGCGGGGGAAAGGGGGGGGGCGATGGGTGGAGGAGGCGGCGAGTAAAGGTGTCAAGGCCCAAGGTGGATTAAGGATATGTTTGCATACATACAAAGATACAGATCCCCCGTATAGCCGGAACAGACGGTTAGGGCAAGTGCTGTTAGCGAGTGGCGCCTATGAAGGCCGGCACGGCACACGAGGGGGTTGGGTGGCCAGCACCACGCCCGGCCGCCTTTGCCTCCCAAGTGACGATGCTCACACACCACACCAGGTACTTATTTGAGGCTGAGTCGACCTAGGGGAGGCTCAGGACCGGTTCATATAATCGTCACCGCAGCGGAGCGCTAACCGCTGCACCACCGCTCCGCATACGGATAGCCACGCTCAACACTCATCCCTCTCCCCCCTCCTGCACCCCGCCCCTCCACCCCCAACTACCCAACCTCCAATTTAGAATCTGTCAATTACACGGGGCATTTAAATTCACGACACACACACACACACGACTGGGATAAGTACTACGCGAGGGTTTTACGGTAGAATTTGTTTATAATTATCTCGGTACGAAGATAGGCGACCAGCTGCCACTGGCCGCCCATACACAGCACCGCTAACAGCCTCGCACACAGCTACACACAGCACTGCTAACAGCCTAAAACACACAGCTACACACACACAGCTACACACAGAGCATTGCTAACAGCCTCACACACAGCTACAGACAGCTACACACAGCTACACACACAGCTACAGACACAGCTACACAAACACAGCTACACACACAGCTACACACACAGCCACACACACAGCCACACACACAGCTACACACAGCACTGCTACACACACAGCTACACATAGCTACACACACAGCTAAACACAGCACTGCTAACAGCCTAAAACACACAGCTACACACACACACAGCTACACAGAGCATTGCTAACAGCCTCACACACAGCCACACACACAGCTACACACACAGCTACACACACAGCTACACACAGCACTGGTAACAGCCTAAAACACACATCTACACACACAGTACTGCTAACAGCCTCACACACAGCTACAGACACAGCCTCACACACAGCTACACACACAGCCTCACACACACAGCTACACCAACAGCGTTGCTAACAGCTACACACACACAGCGTTGCTAACAGCCTCAGACACACACAAACAGCGTTGCTAACAGCTACACACACAGCGTTGCTAACAGCCTCACACACACACAGCTACACAAACAGCGTTGCTAATAGCTACACACACACACACACAGCCTTGCTAACAGCCTCACACACACACACAGCGTTGCTAACAGCTACACACACACACACACAGCCTTGCTAACAGCCTCAGACACACACACACAGCGTTGCTAACAGCTACACACACACACAGCCTTGCTAACAGCCTCACACACACACACAGCGTTGCTAACAGCTACACACACACACACAGCATTACTCACAGCCTTGCATAGCCAAAGCTCCTCCGGCTAGCCTCAACCGGCTGTTGGGGCAAGTGCTGTTGGCGAGCACCTGTGAAGGCCGGGATGGCACACGAGGGGGTGCGGCTGGCATTCTGCTGTAGCAGAAGGGTCATTGCCCGAAACGTCTCCCTCTGATGTATTTCTTGATCGTTTTTTAAAGTCACGCCCCAGTGTTGCTGCTTACCGATGTGTTGTGGATTTTGACGCTTTCGCTGCTGGTGCATCTAAAATAACATCGCCATGTATTTATTCTAGATTTGAAGCTTTCGTGACTGCAAGGATTCATACTCTTAGTTCTTTCGGTAAAGTCACCATGTAGGTAAAAAATGAAAATAAAATTAATAAAAATAAAACAATAAAAATCACGACGTTTCGGAGGCAACACAAGTCTCCGTCATCAGGATGGGCATAGGACTCAAAAACAAACGATTATTATAATTTGTCTCATATCATTCGAATCGAATTGATGTTCCATTAAAGGTAAAAGCGCAGCCCCTGCAATGGCTCGCTCACGCCTCCGCTGGCGGAAGAGGCTTCCCCTGCAGGGGGCTCTAGACGCCCCCCCTCCAACTCCCCCTCCCCCCGGCCCCCATGTAGTGGACGGTATACTTGGCCTACTCTTCCACTCACGCGCCAACGGTTGAACAACCGTGGTATTGGTCATGGATACCGTGCAGGGCTTATCTGGACACATAAACATTGTATTGGGGGGGGGGTGGAGAATATTGGGGGGCTGGGGGGTGGGGGGCGGGGTAGTGGGGGGGGTTGAGGGGCGGGGAAGGGGGGGGCGGGGTGGGGTAGGGGGTGGAGGGGCGGGGTAGTGGGGGTGTTGGAGGGCCAGGGAGGTGGGTTGGAGAGGCATGGAAAGGGGGGGCAAGGGGGGCGAAGTGGGGGACGGAGGGGCGAGGTAGTGGTGGGGGGAAACGGGGTTGGGGGGGGGCGGGGTCACAGAGCCTTAGCTCAATATTATAAGCGGTTACCATGGTTACTAATCCTTTATATAAATGTCAGCTGTTCGGTGGTGGTCCACGTCAGTCCTCGCGGACCGGACACAGTCGATGTTGCCCTGGAAACCAATCAACACGTGGTAGCGGCACAACCTTTTTACTTTACACCATTTAGAGCCTGAAACGTTGATGTATTTTTTTTTAGTGAATCTAATCGATGCATCTGGGTTTGTTGAGAAATGTTATCTTCAAATTGTTGATTGTTGAAGGACAATATTGATGACAAACCAAACAAACTGGCTCATCGTTAACCGCCTCGTCGGGTGGCGGAGGCTATCGACGACACGAATTTAGCCAGAGCGTTAAAATAATGCCCGTTGAAGTGTAAAAATAATCCCGTTTCAGAACCACGTTCATCCAGCAGTGAATCGAACACTACTCTCCGATGCTGCTGCTGATGATGATGATGCTGTTGATGATGATGATAAAGTATCGTCAAACGTGTGCCATCCCACACGGCTGCCACCTTCTGAGGTTCCAAAAACAAAAGCGACGTGGACACATCGTGCGGGACACACATCGAGAGAGAGAAGACGATCCTGGGAAAACCCGGAGCAGGTGGCAACCATCCTCACAGCCTGACCGGGGGGAGGGGTGGTGGGGGTGGAGGGGAGGGGCTGGAGAGGAGGGTGTGGAGGGGTGGAGGGGAGGGGTGGAGGGGAGGGGGTGGAGGACAAGGGGGTGGAGGGGAGAGGGTGGAGGGGAAGGGGGTGGAAGGGCGGGGTGGTGGAGGGGGTGGAGGAGAGCAGTGGTGGAGAGGAGGGGGTGGAGGGGAGGGGCTGGAGGGGAGGGGGTGGAGGGGAGGGGTGGTGGAGGGGAGGGGGTGGAGGGGAGAGGTGGAAGGGAGGGGCTGGAGGGGAGGGGGTGGAGGGGAGGGGCTGGAGGGGAGGGGGTGGAGGGGAGGGTAGAGGGGAATGGAGGGGTGATGGAGAAGAGTGGGTAGAGGGGAGGGGTGGTGGAGGGGCGGGGTGTTGGAGGGGAGGGGGTGGAGGGGAGGGGTTGGAGGGGAGGGGGTGGAGGGGAGGGGTTGGAGGGGAGGGGTTGGAGGGGAGGGGGTGGAGGGGAGGGGTGGTAGAGGGGCGGGGTGGTGGAGGAGTTGGAGGGGAGGGGTGATGGAGGGGAGGGGTGGAGGGGAGGGGCTTGCATATACCGACTACGTCATTTCCCCAAACCTCGAGTCTAATCGGGCGAGCACCAAGGTAGAACTCGCGTCAAAGAAGAATGGCGGCAGATGATTAAATGCGCACGTGGTTGAGACGGGGGGTGGGGGGGGGGCAGTCCCACCGGTGAAGGGACGACTCCTCGGAAGAAGAATCATTCTCCTCGTCCTCCTCGTTCCGTTAATTCATCGTCTGTCACCACCGTCGTCATCAGCAATCATCATCATCAGCAGCAGCAGTCACGGTTTCTCCACTGCTGGATGAAGGCCTCTCTTTCTCAAGGGCCCTCCCTGCGAGCCAGCGGCTTAACAATCCAGAATCAGAATATCTATTTTTTTTTATCCTGGGGGAATTTGGATTGGATGGTTCCATCTCCTTGATTTAATTAAAGGCATATACAGTATATATATATACACACCGAACATATACTGTATGTAAAACTGACTCAGTTGGTTCTGCGCGATTAAAATATGAACAGCAACAAACACGACCCCACTCAGTCCATCATCAGACTGTTTGTTGTTGCTGTGAATTGTTATTGTTTGTGTGTGGGCACTGGGGGGGGGGGGGGTGTAGGGGGAGAGGTCGGATCTCTACATGACAGTCTCTTGTAGCTCGCAATGTCAGGCGGGTCAGTCTCTCTCCGCCGCTGCACCCTGGGGATGCCGAGGAAGGAACGGCGGCGATTATCAACAGCATCGTAGGGCCGCTCGAGTGACAGATGGAGATACAATTCAAATGTCAAACGAAGGACTGGGCTGGTCACCCCTCCCCCCTTCTCCTCCTCCTACTCCCCATTCCCTCCCACCCCCATCCTCCGTCTCCCCTACCCCCTCCACCACTCCCCTCCAGCACCCCCTCCCCTCCGGCCCTGTAAATTCGCCCTGCATGTGTCCTCGTGTCAATCATCAAGGCTCGCAGCGCCGGGCGCTAATTACAAAGGGATTAGTGGCCGCGGGGACACGCGCCGTGTCGGTCCTGCGGCCTGGTCGCGTCTGTTATGGGCCGGTGCGTCGGGTAGTCGATCATACGGTGGACTCACCCACACGCTCACTCACCCACTCACTTACTCAACCACTCACCCATTTACTCGCTCACCCACGCACTCACCCACCCACGCACTCAACCACCCACTCACTTACTCACCCACCCCCACTTACCCACTCACTTACTCACTCACCCACCCATTCACTCACCCACCCACTCACTCACCTACTCACTCACCCACCCATTCACTCACCCATTCATTCACTCACCCACCCACCCACTCACCCACCCACTCACTCACCACTCACTCACTCACTCACCCACCCATTCACCAACTCACTCACCCACTCACCTACTCACTCACCCACCCATTCACTCATTCACCTACTCACCCACTCACCCACTCACCTACTCACTCACCAACTCACCCACTCACTCACCCACCACTCACTCACCACTCATTCACCCACTCACTCACCCACTCACTCACCCACTCACTCACTCACTCACCCACCCACCCACTCACTCACTCACCCACTCACCCACCCTCCCACTCACTCACCCACTCACTCACCTACTCACCCACTCACCCTCCCACTCACTCACCCACTCACTCACCCACCCACTCACTCACCTACTTACGCCACTCGGCGTCCGGTGTCTCGTCAGCACGTTTTTTATCCCTCTTTCTTTCTGTTTATTTATCTGAAGTCACACGGCACTCACTACCCAACCCCCGCCGCCGCCCCTGCCTCACCTCCCTCTGGGGATGTTGCACTGCGGAGTCTAAATGGATTTAGCTTTCAAGGGCGCTGATGCGCGAACATCGAGGGTTCTTCTCTTGCATACCGGGGGGGGGGGGGGGGGCTCACCGGTGGTGAGTGGGGGCCGTGGACTTACTGCGCGCGGAGACGCGAACATTGAAACACGGACACGCAGAGAGACACGGGCACGCGGAGACACACACACACGCAGAGAGACACACATACACAGAGACACACAGAGACAGACACACACACAGAGACAGACACACACACAGAGACAGAGACAGACGGACACACAGAAACAGACACACACATACACAGATACACACACAGAGACACACATACACAGAGACACACATACACAGAGACACACATACACAGAGACACACAGAGACAGACACACACATACACAGAGACACACATACACAGAGACACACAGAGACAGACACACACATACACAGACACACACATACACAGAGACACAGAGACAGAGACACACAGAGACAGACACACACAGAGACAGACACACACATAGACAGACACACAGAGACAGAGACACACAGAGACAGACTGACACACAGAAACAGACACACACATACACAGAGACACACATACACAGAGACACACCGAAACAGACAGACACACAGAAACAGACAGACACACATACACAGAGACACAGACAGACAGAGACAGACAGACAGACACACACACAGACAGTTCACCATGGGACCATGGCAGTCCAGTTTACTGTGTTCAGGACTCGGCAACCTGCAGGTCATCAAGGACCGCGCTTCGTGAGCGCCAATGGTAACGGAGCGCCACCGTTTCGTAGTCACCACCACAGCGCAATGCGCCTCTTGAAATGTTGAAGTTGTTTATATCGACCGCCTTTGTCTCCCCAGTGGCGATGTTTACATACCGCGCCGGGTACTCATTTGAGGCTGAGTCGACCGAGAGGAGCCCCAGGACCGGTTCAGATAATCGTCACCGGTGTTGGCCGTGAGCGGGAATCGAACCCCGGGTTGCCGGCTTTGTAGCGCAGCGTATCGCTAACCGTGACACTACCGCTCCCCACATCCAAACAGACAAAAAGACAAAGAACCCCCGTATAGCCTTCACAAACTGTAGGGGCAAGTGCTATTAGCGAGCACCTATGAAGGCCAGAACGGTACACGAGAGGATGGGTGGCCAGCACCACGCCCGACCGCCCGCCTTTCTCTCCCCAGTGGCAATGTTTACACACCGCACCAGGTACTCATTTGAGGCTGAGTCGACCTAAGAGAGGCCCAGGACCGGTTCAAATAATCGTCACTGGTGTTGGCCGTGAGCGGGAATCAAACCCAGGTCGCCAGGTTCATAGCGCAGCGCGCTAACCGCTACACTACCGCTCCCCACACACAGACACACACACAGGCACACAGACACACACACAGACACGTCATACATAGACACCCAAAACACACGCGCTTGCCGTTGTATAGCAACATTAAGCTGCGAGGTTGTAATCGATCCTTTAATGATTTTTCTCACCTCGTGTAAACAACCTTGCGGCCAATGACCACTATTAGGGTCGAAAGAGGGAGAAAAAAACACCTCCAATTACAGAGGCGGCTAATACATATACCGTAGTTGCGTTCTCGACACATTTAGTTAAGGGCCTGCATCGAATTAAGGGTGTGGGAGCAGTGGTTAGCGCGCTGCGCAAAACAAAACGTAAAGACGCGAACGACAACAAAAAGTCATCACAACAAACTACCGGTTGTTTTAAAACTATGGGCACAATTTCAAAGCAGTATATTTCACGATGGCAACATGCTACAATCACACGCAAAGTTACAAACGGTTCAATTAGATTGGTTGGGCTGGGTGGGGAAGGGCTGGTCACCCCGTGGTGCCCTTATAAAACTCAACGTTTAACCTACCCACGCCGGCTTGTGCCCGCCCTCACAGTCGGGCATATTTGCGGAATACACCACGCCGCCGTTGACCCTGGCCATTGACCGAGCAACCCGACGTTCCTACCAGCTGCCTCCGCAGGAATGTGTTTGGAGGTTGTGTGTCTCTCTCCCCGTGGTCGCGTGGATTTTCTCCGGGTCCCTGCACGTTTATAATGGACGCGCGTTTAGAGTATTTCTGCTGCTGCTATAATTCTCCACGTGATGATGAGCCCGCTTCGTTGAGCTGTCATTTGTGGCAGCCAGGTCGCTTCTGAAAAAAAGCTACATAAGTCAGTGGGCCTTACCTGGTCAAATAAAAAATAAAAATTGTTTATTAACAGTTAGTATAAATATATGCTTTAATGGCTTTAATGACGATTTCTCACGTGGAGAGAAAGATGGAAGGGAGGGATTTATTTACTCGGACCACAGATTTAATTCATATTCTCTAATTCTCCTCCTATCCTCGCATTCCGTCTCATCTCGTCCAGAATGAGAATAATTATGGACACTGGAGGAATCCGATGAGCTATGAAGCTCTTTTCACAGCTGCCCCCCCCCCCTCCTGTCCCCCCCCCCCCCCCTGTCCCCCCCCCCCCGCCCCCAGCTCGTTACGTGGGCTGCTTCGCTGATGATCCCAAGCAGAGGACTCTGCAAGGACTCGTGCTCTACGACTACCGGAAGATGACCCTCTTCCGATGTCATGACAACTGCGCCGATCGGTGAGCTTGGGAGGGGGGGGTGAGGTGGGGGAGGTGAGGGGGGGGTGAGTTTGGGGGTGGGTGAGTTTGGGGGGGGGGCTGCGACGGGGGGGGGGGGGTGTGCGTGGCTTCTTCCCTTCGCATTGAGGCGGTGAAGACCTCCCCATGCCAACATCACCACCATGATCATCACGAGCCGTGGTCTTTCAACTGCTGGATGGAACTCTCCCCACGCAAACATCACCAGCACCACCATCGTCATCACGAGCCGTGGTCTATCAACTGCTGGATGGAACTCTCCCCACGCAAACATCACCACCAGTATCACCATCGTCATCACGAGCCGTGCTCTATCAACTGCTGGATGGAACTCTCCCCACGTAAACATCACCACCAGCACCACCATCGTCATCACGAGCCGTGCTCTATCAACTGCTGGATGGAACTCTCCCCACGTAAACATCACCACCAGCACCACCATCGTCATCACGAGCCGTGCTCTATCAACTGCTGGGTGGAACTCTCCCCACGTAAACATCACCACCAGCACCACCACCGTCATCACGAGCCGTGGTCTTTCAACTGCTGAATGAAACTCTCCCCACGCAAACATCACCACCAGCACCACCATGATCATCACTCGCCGTGGTCTTTCAACTGTTGGATGAAACTCTCCCCACGCAAACCTCACCACCAGCACCATGATCATCACTCGCCGTAGTCTTTCAACTGCTGGATTGAACTCTCCCCACGCTTACATCACCACCAGCACCACCATCGTCATCACGAGTCGTGGTCTATCAACTGCTGGATGGAACTCTCCCCACGCAAACATAACCACCAGCACCACCACCGTCATCACTCGCCGTGGTCTATCAACTGCTGAATGAAACTCTCCCCACGCAAACATCACCACCAGCACCATCGTCATCACTCGCCGTGGTCTATCAACTGCTGGATGGAACTCTCCCCACGCAAACATCACCACCAGCACCACCACCGTCATCACGAGCCGTGCTCTATCAACTGCTGAATGGAACTTTCCCCACGCAAACATCACCACCAGCACCACCATCGTCATCACGAGCCGTGCTCTATCAACTGCTGAATGGAACTCTCCCCACGCAAACATCACCACCAGCACCACCACCGTCATCACGAGCTGTGGTCTATCAACTGCTGAATGGAACTTTCCAAACGCAAACATCACCACCAGCACCACCATCGTCATCACTCGCCGTGTTCTATCAACTGCTGGATGGAACTCTCCCCACGCAAACATCACCACCAGCACCACCATCGTCATCACTCGCCGTGGTCTTTCAACTGCTGGATCGAACTCTCCCCAAGCAAACATCACCACCAGCACCATCGTCATCACTCGCCGTGGTCTATCAACTGCTGAATGAAACTCTCCCCACGCAAACATCACCACCAGCACCACCATCGTCATCACGAGCCGTGCTCTATCAACTGCTGAATGGAACTCTCCCCACGCAAACATCACCACCAGCACCACCATCGTCATCACGAGCCGTGCTCTATCAACTGCTGAATGGAACTCTCCCCACGCAAACATCACCACCAGCACCACCGTCATCACTCGCCGTGGTCTTTCAACTGCTGGATCGAACTCTCCCCACGCAAACATCACCACCAGCACCATCGTCATCACTCGCCGTGGTCTATCAACTGCTGAATGGAACTCTCCCCACGCAAACATCACCACCAGCACCACCGTCATCACGAGCTGTGGTCTATCAACTGCTGAATGGAACTTTCCCCACGCAAACATCACCACCAGCACCACCATCGTCATCACGAGCCGTGTTCTATCAACTGCTGGATGGAACTCTCCCCACGCAAACATCACCACCAGCACCACCACCGTCATCACGAGCCGTGGTCTTTCAACTGCTGAATGAAACTCTCCCCACGCCAACATCACCACCAGCACCACCATGATCATCACTCGCCGTGGTCTTTCAACTGCTGGATGGAACTATCCCCACGCAAACATCACCACCAGCACCATCGTCATCACGAGTCGTGGTCTATCAACTGCTGGATGAAACTCTCTCCACGCAAACATCACCACCAGCACCACCATCGTCATCACGAGCCGTGCTCTATCAACTGCTGAATGGAACTCTCCCCACGCAAACATCACCACCAGCACCACCACCGTCATCACGAGCTGTGGTCTATCAACTGCTGAATGGAACTTTCCCCACGCAAACATCACCACCAGCACCACCATCGTCATCACGAGCCGTGTTCTATCAACTGCTGGATGGAACTCTCCCCACGCAAACATCACCACCAGCACCACCATCGTCATCACGAGCTGTGGTCTATCAACTGCTGGATGAAACTCTCCCCACGCAAACATCACCACCAGCACCACCATCGTCATCACGAGCCGTGGTCTTTCAACTGCTGAATGAAACTCTCCCCACGCCAACATCACCACCAGCACCATCGTCATCACGAGCCGTGGTCTTTCATCTGCTGAATGAAACTCTCCCCACGCAAACATCACCACCAGCACCATCGTCATCACGAGCCGTGCTCTTATCAACTGCTGAATGGAACTCTCCCCACGCAAACATCACCAGCACCACCATCGTCATCACGAGCCGTGGTCTTTCATCTGCTGAATGGAACTCTCCCCACGCAAACATCACCACCAGCACCATCGTCATCACGAGCTGTGGTCTATCAACTGCTGGATGAAACTCTCCCCACGCAAACATCACCACCAGTACCACCATCGTCATCACGAGCCGTGGTCGATCAACTGTTGAATGAAACTCTCCCCACGCAAACATCACCACCAGCACCATCGTCATCACGGGCCGTGTTCTATCAACTGCTGGATGGAATTCTCTCCACGCAAACATCACCACCAGCACCACCATCGTCATCACGAGCCGTGCTCTATCAACTGCTGGATGGAACTCTCCCCACGCAAACATCACCACCAGCACCATCGTCATCACGAGCCGTGGTCTTTCAACTGCTGAATGAAACTCTCCCCACGCCAACATCACGACCACCGTCATCATCGTTACCCTTAAGTGCGGCGACCTTCCCACGCCAGCACCTTCATCATCATCATCATCAACATCCATGCTCTATCGACTGTTAGATAAATACCTCCCCATAGTACCGCCTCCATCAATCATCATCATCTCGAGCCATGGCCTATCAACTGCTAGATGAGAGCTTCCCCAACACCACCAACACCACTACCACCACTCATCGCGATGATGGTGGTGGTCGTGGTGGTGGCAGGGACCCTCCTGCAAAAGAGCAATTGAACTCAGAGGTGGATAAATCCTTTGTCTTTGTGCGTCTCTTCCGCGCGCTGCGCAGTGCGATGCTTGCTGAAAGGCCACGCCATTCCCATTGCATCGCGAGAAAATTATCGCTCACAAACCCGCTCGCCCCCAACCGCAGCAACTCCTCCTGCCTCGCGCAATGACGCCCCCGTGATACTGAATCAGCGACACCGCGCGCCGCTTTTCTGTGTCGAGCACCAGACGAAAGGACACACAGACAAAGACAACCCCCCCCCCCCCATAAAGTAATTTTTACAGACTGTTGGAGCCAGTGCTGGTAGCGAGCAGCACACCCGGCCGCCTTCGTCTTCGGCGATGTTTACACACCGCACAAAGCAAAGATGTGGAACCAGCGGGAGGTCCCAAACGGTTCAGATAATTCATCGTAATAATTCAGCGTAATAATTCACTGTAATAATTCACCGTAATAATTCATCGTAATAATTCATCGTAATAATTCATCGTTATCATTCACCGTAATAATTCATCGTAATCATTCACCGTAATAATTCATCGTTATCATTCATCGTAATCATTCACCGTAATAATTCATCGTAATCATTGATCGTTATCATTCACCGTAATAATTCATCGTTATCATTCACCGTAATAATTCATCGTTATCATTCACCGTAATAATTCATCGTAATCATTCACCGTAATAATTCACCGTAATCATTCATCATAATCATTCACCGTAATAATTCATCGTAATCATTCATCGTAATCATTCACCGTAATCATTCACCGTAATCATTCACCGTAATAATTCATCGTAATAATTCACCGTAATAATTCATCGTAATAATTCAGCGGTAGTTGGCCGTGAGCGGGAATCGAACTCGGGTCGCCGGATTTGTGGCGCAGCGCGTTGACAACTACCCCGTCACTTCCCCACTAGACACAGACACACATGAACACACACACACACACATCGTTATGACTGGGTGAGAACCCCATCAGCCTGAAGATTCAACACAATGCAACGTTTGCACAGCCTGTGCTGTCGCGGGGTTTTTGGTTTATTTAGGGAGGCAGAGAGACAGTCTGTTAAGGCTATGCAGGGGGGATCGTTGTCTTTGTGTGTAAAATATACATTTATTTTCTAGATTTGAAGCTTTCGTGACTGCAAGGATTCATATTCTTAGTTTTTCGGTACAGTCACGTAGGTTAAAAATTTAAATTTAAATTATTTTATTTTTATTTTACTTTTATTAATTTTTATTTTTATTTTTTACCTATGTGACTTTACCGAAAAAACCTAAAGAATATACATATCTTTACCATGCTTTTAGATTATTTTTCTTATTTTGCTGCTATAAATGTGCACGTGGTAAGCCACTTCGTTGACCTGGCGAGGACGCTTCTCAAAAAAAGCTAATGTCTACGTGGGCTTTGCCTGGTAAGATAATTAAAAGAAGTATTTGCATTTGTACGGATTTTTTCGCTACAGTTCGCACTCCAATCGTGTTACTTGTATCGTTTGTTGTTGTGACGTTCTGACCCGCCCTACTGGACAACTGTGGAAAAGCGCTTCATAGCTCATCTGATTCCTCCGGTATACATGAAGATTCTAGACTTGAAGTTTTCGTGACTGCAAGGATCCATACGCTTTGGTTCTTTCGGTAAAGTCACGTAGATGAAAAATAAAATTAATAATAAAAATAATAAAATGAAAATAACTCAATTCAATTTTGCTGTGGCTGTTCCACCTGATGACGGAAGCTTGTGTTGCCTCCGAAACGTCGTGATTTAATTTAGTTATTTTCATTTAAAATTATTATTTTCATTATAATTTTTCATCTACGTGACTTTACCGAAAGAACCAAAGAGTATACATGAAGATACTGATTCTAGCGTTGAGTGCTTGGGTGCTAAAGCCCTGGTTACACAGGGAAGACCTTTGTCTGTGTTTTAATTTTTGTGTTTTCTTTGTTTGTGTTGTAATTGTTATTTTATTTGTTGTATTTTTATTCTTAGTGTTTTAATTGTTATGTTTTAATTGTTGTTTTAATTGTTTGTGTTTTATATGTTGTGATTTATTTGTTAGTGTTTTAATTGTTTGTGTTTTACTTGTCTGTGTTGTAATTGTTATTTTATTTGTTGTGTTTTATTTATTGTGTTTTATATGTTGTGTTTTATTTGTAGTGTTTTAATTGTTTGTGTTTTACTTGTCTGTGTTTTAATTGTCTGTGTTTTATACGTTGTGTGCCGACCTGTCTGAATCAGAGTTTTTCACTCAGTTTCGCCGAGAGGACGCCGTCAGTGTGAGGGCCACAACACATCTGAAACCATTGCCGGATGTAACAGCGGCACGATGACGATGATGGGGTCTGCTTTAACCATTCGTGTGTTGTTGGGGCGGGGGGGGGACGCACGCCAGGGGCCGCACTAGAGGTCACCAGGGGTCACCAGGGGTCACCAGGGGTCACCAGGGGTCACCAGTGGCCCGCGCGGGCCTTGCAGTAAAGAACACTGCGGTTTACCTCGTGGTAGGATTTCGTAACCAATATCATCCATAATAGAGGTTTTTTTGGGGGGTTAGATCGCGTAAAAATATATAAATGTGTCGTTAAAACCCCGCCAACACCCGACACAGCCAACTAGTGAGGTGCCAGTTTTGTACCAGTTTAAAGGGTAAAAACCTACTACTATATTTTGCCACTGGTAAAGGAGGTCTCATAGTGTAAATGCTTACCCCCAGCTCTCAATACTTTGAGTTGTACGCCTTTTGGCGTCATCTGGTCCAACACCAATGGAGACTAGGCTCTAAGGAAAGCTGTCTCGGGTGTGGACCAATCAACTTCAAGAACAGTGCATATTATTACCATTATCAGAGTTGTTTCTTTTTGTTTGCATTTTGACTGCTTGTGTTGTGGTTATTGCAAACATGATGCCTTGTATAAAGGTGTCAGTTTTGTACCAGTTTAAAGGGTAAAAACTTACTACTATATTTTGCCACTGGTAATAAAGGCTCAGTCTTTTGTTATGTAGACTAGCCATAGTCTCAAGCCGCACCTTACCATAATAATAAAAGAGGGCCGGTCCTGGCCCATCCCCCTCCCCTAAACCAATATATATATACGGGATAGTATCCCTTGGAATTTCTCATTTACTTGATTACAGCAAGCGCGCTGTGACGGTTCCACCTGAAGACGAAAGCTTGTGTTGCCTCCGAAACGTGATTTTTATTTTACTTTTATTAATTTTGATTTTTTTACCTACGTGACTTTACCGAAAAAACCTAAGAATATGAGTAAGGGTTGTCTCGTAAACAGAACGTGCCATGGACAGGAAGGACAAGAGCAAAGGACTCGCATAATGGGCATGCATCATGTGGACTTCTCCACAAATCTGGCTGTCGCCTGATGAAGCTGGTTGTAATTACCGGCGAAACGTCGTACTCAGATTGTAAATGTTGTGGCTTGGCTCTCCAACACACCGGCGTGCTGTACTCGTGACGAATTGGCCACGTTCTGTTTACGTGCCAACCCTCGCCAGTTGGCCGTGTCGGGTGGTGGCGAATTTATCGACACATTTATATATTTACGCGATCTAACCTAAAAAAACCTCTATTACGGAAGAACACTGCGCATAGGACCTGTCCGCTACCAGCACTTGCCCCATCAGTCTGCTAAGGCTACACCTTCGATTAGCACGTTTGGCTACGTACGGTGCGAAAGAAGTTCTACATACATCTTGCAATGAACAACACTGCTCTAAACCGTGACCCACGGTCTCGCACCCCCAATACCCCATCCCTCACCCCTCCACCCCCCTCCGCAGGGGCTACCGCTACGCGGGGCTGGAGTTCGGGGCGGAGTGCTACTGCGGGCACCGCGTGCAGGGCCGCAATGTGAGCGAGGAGGAGTGCAAGATGGAGTGCAAGGGGGAGCGCAGCTCGGTGTGCGGGGGCGCCAACCGCCTCTCCATCTACCGCCTGGAGCTCGCGCACGACGTGGGCCTGAGATGTGAGCGCGGTAACGGTGGTGGCGGCGGTGGCAGTGGTATTGACGGTGGTGGCAGTGGTATTGACGGTGGTGGCAGTGGTATTGACGGCGGTGGCGGTGGTGGTGACGGCGGCGGTGGTGGTGGTGACGGCGGTGGCGGTGGTGGTGGTGGTGACGGCGGTGGTGGTGGTGGTGACGGCGGTGGCGGTGGTGGTGACGGCGGTGGTGGTGGTGGTGACGGCGGTGGTGGTGGTGGTGGTGACGGCGGTGGTGGTGGTGGTGGTGACGGCGGTGGTGGTGGTGGTGGTGGTGACGGCGGTGGTGGTGACGGCGGTGGCGGTGGTGGTGGTGGTGACGGCGGTGGTGGTGGTGGTGACGGCGGTGGTGGTGGTGGTGGCGGCGGTGGTGGTGGTGGTGACGGCGGCGGTGGTGGTGGTGACGGCGGCGGTGGTGACGGTGACGGCGGTGGTGGTGGTGGTGACGGCGGTGGTGGTGGTGGTGACGGCGGTGGTGGTGGTGGTGGTGGTGACGGCGGTGGTGGTGGTGGTGGTGACGGCGGCGGTGGTGGTGTCAGTGGTGGTGGCGGTGGTGGTGGTGGTGGTGGTGACGGCGGTGGCGGTGGTATTGACGGTGACGGTGACGGTGGTGGTGACGGCGGCGGTGGTGGTGGTGACGGCGGTGGTGGTGGTGGTGACGGCGGTGGCGGTGGTGGTGGTGGTGACGGCGGTGGTGGTGGTGGTGGTGACGGCGGTGGTGGTGGTGGTGGTGACGGCGGTGGTGGTGGTATTGACGGTGGTGGCAGTGGTATTGACGGCGGTGGCGGTGGTGATGACGGCGGTGGCGGTGGTGGTGGCGGCGGCGGTGGTGGTCCTCGTTTGAGACGCGTTCCTCAAAAGCGAAAACGATTTCGCCCGGAAGTGACGTGGGCGACGATCGGAGCTTGTCGCAGAGGTCGCAATCGGGTACCCGATACCCGTACCCTACCCGATACCCGGCTACCCGTACCCGGCCAGGTACGGGTACGGGCCAGGTACGGGTACGGGTAGCCGTTTGCGACCCTGGTGCGGCCGGGTACGGGTACGGGTAGGTCGTGAGTCACTGGTGAGTCACCGTTTGTCACTCATTTCGGGTAGGGTACGGGTAGGGAACGGGTACCCGTACCCGGCTGGGTACGGGTAAGGAATCAAAACCCGTTTGTGACCTCTGGCCTGCCGAGAGGCGATGCGCTACGACGCAGTGGGACGCCTCGACACGTAGCCGAAGATGCACCGCCGCCGCCGCGTTACTGCGTCCTTCCGCGCGCCGTATCACTCCACTCGGCCGCGCAGCTCGAGGAAGTAGTTCGTCTGAGACCGCTCAAAAAATAAGTATATAAATAAATAGCCGCGTTATAACGGGCGGCGCGTTCTTCGCGTTTCGACGGTGCGCGAAGAAGTGTTCCCGAATGGTAAAACGGAGTAGCGAAAACGCGCTGTGCGAACACCCACGCGTTAAGCGGGGACTTACCAAAGTGTCGCTGGGGGAGGTGGGGGGGGGGTCCCTTGCCGGATCTGAAAATCTGAACCATCGCCATCACTCGACAACCCACCAAAAACTACAAAAACTACCGTCGCCAAATCTGCGACTTGCCGCGGCACTGCAGAGACACTGAGCGACGGTAATGCATGATTAGAGCGGTCTGTCAGCACTAGATTATCCAATTACGCGCGTACGTATAATCCATACATTACTTAGGCAATGAGGGGGTCAAGGTCGGCGTCATAAAATTGTCCACGGACATTTATAAGGCATTGATAAATCATGCGCGAGAGAGAGAGAGAGGATCATTATATTTGGAGCGATTCAACTGGTGTCCCACCGGACACTGGGATAAGTGGGTCGGTGTGTGTGTGTCTGCGTGTGTGCGTGTGTACGAGGAGCGGTGGTGTAGCGGTTAGCGCGCTGAGCTACGAACCTGGCGACCCGGGTTCGATTCCCGCTCACAGCTAACACCAGTGACGATTATCTGAAACGGTCCCGTGCCTCCCCTAGGTCGACTCAGCCTTAAATGAGTACCTGGTGCGGTGTGTAAACATCGCCAATGGGGAAACAAAGGCGGCCGGGCGTGGTACTGGCCATCCATCCTCGCGTGCCGTGTCGGCCTTCATAGGTGCTGCTCGTCTTCTTGGTTCTTTCGGTAAAGTCACGTAGAATGGAAATAATAAAATAATAAAAATTAAACATAATAAAATAATTCTCACAACGTTTCGGCCACAACGCAAGCAGCCGTCCTCAGGTGAAGAACAGGTCTGTTGGGGAGACAGCGTCTGAATGAAACACCACCAAGCTTGGCAGCGTATATTTAAGCTGGGTTGGAGGGGGGAAGAGCGCCTTGACAAAATAATTTGCATATCAAGAGGAATTTATCATATTTATGGGAAATGCAGATATGGGATTAGTCACTACTTGTGAAATGCGTAGTAGGTGGGCGGGGGGTTTCAAAGTCATAGGTGCTGCTCGCTCACAGCACTTGCCCCAACGGTCTGTTCAGCGCTATACGGGGAATTTCCACCTCTGCCTTTGTGCACTTAGCATGGCACGAGCGCCGTGGTGACGTCACCGACGCTTCGTTGTTGTTGTTATCTGACCGGCTCCTGGGCCTCCCCCTAGATCGACTCGGCCGTAAATGGGTTACGGGTGTGTAAATATCGTCGATGGGGAGACAAAGGCGGCCGGGCGTGGTGTTGGCCACCCGCCCCCTCGTCTGCCGTGCTCGCTGCACTCCCGCTCCCACACAAGCACACGCAGACAATGGCAAAGATCCCCGGATAGCCTCAACAGACTTTTGGGGAAAGTGCTGTTAGAGAGTGGGTTGCCAGCACCACGCCCGGCCGCCTTTGTCTCCCAAGTGGCGATCTTTACACACCGCACCAGGCTGAGTCGACCTAGGGGGGGTAAGGCCCATGACCGGTTCAGATAAATCGTCACCGTTGTTGGCCGTGAGCGGGAATCGAACTCGGGTCCGCGGGTTCGTAGCGCAGCGCACTAACCGCTACACTACCGCATCCCCCCCTCCACACACACACACACAGAGAGAGACACAAAAACAAACACAAAGACACAGACGCACAAAACACGAAAAGTCGCTCCATAACCTCGCGTGAATAAACACAGCGGCGGTTTAACACGGAGCCACAGATTCGTCTTAATAGGCGCGAGCGAGTGTTGGTTTATTATTCCGTGGCGATCATACATTATGCATGCCGGCGACGACTACGGCTGCCCAAAGTGGCAACATTTTATTTTAATGAGAGATTTTTTTTCTTCTTCTTAGTTTGGTGGAGGGGGGGGAGGCTGTGGGAGGGGGGGGGGGCAGTTGATAGTTGGACACCGCGGTGGCTAGGAGATGTTAACTCCCTCGCCTGGTATGCAGGAGGTCGTGTGTTCGATACCGACCCTGACGCCTGCTGCCGTATATTTGGAGTTTGCGTGTCTCTCTCTCATCATCATCACGGTGGCTAGGAGATGTTAACTCCCTCGCCTGATATGCAGGAGGTCGTGTGTTCGATACCGACCCTGACGCCTGCTGCCGTATATTTGGAGTTTGCGTGTCTCTCTCTCATCATCATCACGGTGGCTAGGAGATGTTAACTCCCTCGCCTGGTATGCAGGAGGTCGTGTGTTCGATACCGACCCTGACGCTTGCTGTTGTATATTTGGAGTTTGCATGTCTAACTCTCATCATCATCACGGTGGCTAGGAGATGTTAACTCCCTCGCCTGGTATACAGGAGGTCGTGGCTTCGATCCCGACCCTGACGCCTGCTGCTGTATATTTGGGTTTGCGTGTCTCACTCTCATCATCATCACGGTGGCTAGGAGATGTTAACTCCCTCGCCTGATATGCAGGAGGTCGTGTGTTCGATACCGACCCTGACGCCTGCTGCCGTATATTTGGAGTTTGCGTGTCTCTCTCTCATCATCATCACGGTGGCTAGGAGATGTTAACTCCCTCGCCTGGTATGCAGGAGGTCGTGTGTTCGATACCGACCCTGACGCTTGCTGTTGTATATTTGGAGTTTGCATGTCTAACTCTCATCATCATCACGGTGGCTAGGAGATGTTAACTCCCTCGCCTGGTATACAGGAGGTCGTGGCTTCGATCCCGACCCTGACGCCTGCTGCTGTATATTTGGGGGTTGCGTGTCTCACTCTCATCATCATCACGGTGGCTAGGAGATGTTAACTCCCTCGCCTGATATGCAGGAGGCTCGTGGGTTCGATGCCGACCCTGACGCCTGCTGTTGTATATTTTGAGTTTGCGTGTCTCTCTCCCTCTCATCTCTCTCTTTCTCCCCCGTGGTCGCGTCGATTTTTCCCCGGCTCCCCCGTTTGTTCTCTCCACATTCAGTATCAGCGTCACGCGTTTTCGAGTATTTGGCCGCTGTGCATTTCCACGCGATGATAAGCCACTTCGTGGAGCTATCGTTTCTGGACAGGTCGCTTCTGGAAATCGAGCTCCGTAGCTCAGTGGGGGCCTTACCTGGTGAAATAAAAACAAAATAGTTTAGACAGCGCTCGGCCTAAAGGCCAATGGTAAGAATCCCAAGCAGATCAAGGGGGTCTCTGCAAACATGAAATACGGGGAGCAGTAGCGTAGAGTGACTAGCGCACATGCGCTTTGATTGCAGCCTCGAATGAGTACCATGTGCGATGTATTCGCAGCGCAACTAAGGGATACAAAGGCGGTCGGGTCGTGTGTGCTGTCCATCCTCCTTCATCGTGTGCGGTGCCAGGCTGCACTCCCTTACACCGCGGGGCCTGATGGGAATTACATTTTAAGACTGTCTTCTGATGACTAGTTAATAACCATATTGAGTGACCTTCAGGATTAAAAAATAATTGACTTTCTAAATACTAAATCCACCCATTTTTGCTAAAAGTAAAAACAAAACATCATTACATGTTGCTGGCGCGGGTCGCATTGTGTGGGAAGGATTTCTTTCTCGCGATGAGCGACTTTGTCGGCGGATTTCTGTTGTC